ACAATGCCAGGCATTCTCACTTAGGAAGGTTCTTATAATTCTTGCATTTTCTAAATGTGAAATTATATACAAATTTAAAGGTAGCTGATAAACAATCAGCTTCTTCATGAGGTTTGAATTTTGTTATTGCTTTTGCACAAGCAATATGAACTCTTAGTAAAGATCCAACAAATATAAATGATTAGATAGTGGCGTTTCTCATCGCACAACCTCCCTGGCTAGAAGGCAGCTACCTGGTTTCTGTAAATTCTTCTAGAAATAGGTTATTCAGGGCACCTGGGTGGCTCAGTCAGTTGAAGACCGACTTCAGCTCAGGTCATGATCTCCACGATTTCATGAGTTGAGCCTGGCGTGGACTCTGTTGACAGCTTCGAGCCTGGGCCTTCATATTCTGTCCCTCTCCTCTCTCTCTCTCTCTCCCTCCCGGCTCATGCTGTCTCTGTCTCTCAAAAATAAACATTAAAAAAATTTAAAATAGAAATAGGTTATTCAAATACAGCCCACATATCCATACAGATAGTCTTATACATGAATTGACATTTTTCTCCAATTGAAATAATAATGAATCTTGACAATAGTTTCATATAAATGAAAAACCTCATTTTTATGCCCATATTTCTGAAAGTGTTGCACATACCTACATGAGTATTATGAACACACAATAGTATATTTAATTGGTCCCTATTGGACTTTTTTAGGTGGTTACTCACCTTTTTTTATCATGGACAATGCAACTATATAAATGGCGTTGCCCGTCAAGGATGCATACCGATTTAAATTTGTGAATTTTTTGCCATTCTCAAAGGCTGCAGCAACCTTCTTCCAGCTACAGTTTGTGTTCTGGAGTGTGGCTTTTAAAAAAACCAACGATGCTGGCCCATTGAAAGGACAGATTATAAGGCAGTTTATTTTTCAAGTACAAAACTTTGACCCTTTCTTCCCTAGATGGAGGAAACTTATGCAATGATCATCAGCTTACTGCCAACTTCCGTGTGTTCAGTCTCCCCAGTTAGATGAGAATCTCTTAAGGGGTGAGAGCATTTTGTTGCTGCTGCTACTTCTGTGGCAAATCATGGCCTCACTGTGTGATGGAATCAATTCATTTAATCCCCTTTGTTAGACTGCGTTCTTGAAGTGGGCAGGGACTGTTTGTTAGAAGATTGAGCATCACAGCCCTGGAGCCTAGGCTTGAATCGTTCTACTGAATTTACTGGTGTGTGCGTTTATGAACATCTGAGTTACAAAGAATAAGGCATGTGTGTGTACCAAAGACTTTGAGCATGAACAATGCCATGTAGTAAGCACAGTGACAGAGGTTTAAAATTACATATTTTAAGAAGCCTGGGTGGCTCATTCGGTTAAGCATCCGACTCTGGAAATTTGACTCGGTCATGATCTCACGGTTCCATTGAGTTGAGCCCCTACATAGGACTCCTGTGTGACAGTGCCCAGGAGCCTGCTTCGCGATTCTCTCTCCCTCTCTGCCCTCCTGTGTTCTCTCTCTCTCTCTCAGAATAAAGTTAAGTGCACATTTTAAAAAAAATCTGTCATTTTCCTGTTCTATTCTCTTTTCTTGTTGCATGTGTGTGTGGCGTCGTGTACATGGAGTGGGCACCATACTGTTTGAGAAAAGATTTAGGCAATAACAAAGACAGAAGGATACTATGGAAGCCTAGACGAGGATACCTAATCCAGTTTTAGGGAGTGGGAGGGTCCAAAGGCATCCCAAATTTGAATTTCTTGACATCTGAATTGATAATGTGATTATACAGTCTCATATAGGTAGCTCTAGGCGCTTCTGACTTATATACTGCCTTCAGGCACCTGAAATAGGATGCTTTATTTTGCCTTTTTTGATGACATACGAGGCCTTGAAAAGAAGAGCGTTTGAGGAGACCGTAGCCCATCGCCGAGATGGTGGGGTTGCTCCACGGCACCCACCTCGGGGCGGTTACAAGTGAGACCCTCTGCCCACTGCAACGCCGAACCACTGTTGCTGGAGTTGAGTACAGCGAGATACGCGAAGTCGCGAGCAAGTCGATCTGGATGGCAGGACAGGCCCCCTTCTCCAGGGTGCTGCATCGGTACGTAACCCTTACGGTGGCGATCACTGTGCCCCAAACAGTCCTGATCCAGCTTCGGCATCGTGTCCAAGCGTTCTCCCAGTAGTTGGCGGGCCCTCTGAAGTCAGAAAACCTTCCATCAAAATGTTTGGGCTTTCCACAAAGACACAGGAAACTTGTAGAGGGCCCACTGACAGGAGTTTGACTGACTTCGGTTCATCTCTTGGTGTGCTTTTCAGAGCAACCTCTCTTGCCTTGAGCAGCATGAAAAGGTAGCTAGCCAGAAATATGGTCAGGGGCCAGCCTGGCTGGATTGTTTTACCTTTTCCTCCCTTCTTCAGCACTAATGTTATTTATTTTTTTGAGAGAGAGACACACATACACAAAGAAACAGACTCCGGGCTCTGGGCTGTCAGCACAGAGCCCGGCAGGCTTGAACTCACCAACAAGCGAGATCATGACCTGGGCAGCCTGAGACCTCAGTCCTTTTCTGTACCTCCCTGTGCCCCCCCTTTTCTTCCTTTCTGCAATGAAAAACCCTTGTTTGATACTCATTTTTAGATAAATGCTTGCTTTTCTTTTCTTAAAAAAAGAAAATATGTTCTTAATGCTTGTTGAGGAGAAGAGCAGCATACCAGCAGGGAGGGCAGAGAGAGAGCACAGAATCAAAGCAGGCTCAGACTCTGAGGCTGTCAGCACAGAGTCCAATGTGGGAATATCAAACTCACCAGCCCATGGGATCTGAGACAAAGTCGGGATGTAGCCGAGCTAGACCACCCAGGAGCAACACTTTTCAAAACACTTCTCTGATACAGTAAGACATGCCTTGCAGAGGAATACTAACTTTAAGCGTTCTTATTGCTGTCTGTAATTTTATTGTATTCACTTGTTCATTCATAGTAGTTAATGGCGCCCGTCCAATCACTGTTCTGGGAGCCCATGGTGAAGGAGCGAACAGGCAGACCGTCTTACTAATTCAGGGTGATGAGGACAGGCGTGAGGGGCTCTTGAGGAGGAGAAGCGGAGGTGGTGGGTGGTACAGTGTGGAGTAGGCTTTTTTGGAGGTTATCTCCAGGGGCAGATTTCAGACACCTGATCATTTACTTTTGCAAGCCCCTGTGACTGTGGGCCAGAGGACCAAGTGCCTGGCAGTGGAGCAGTGAGAAGGCCACTGCTGGCCGGTGGGTCCCACCCCACTGCTGGGTCCTGAGCAGGGATGACTCAGGGCCCTGGTTGGGAGTGGAGTTGTGGGAGAGGAGCAGAGGACAGGTTTCAGAGCAAGCTGACTAGATGGTGACTTACTGGATGTGAGAGGTGGAACAGAGGGAGGGGTCAAGGTTGCTCACATTGGTGAATTTCAGCCACAACAGCACTTGTTGCTCTAGCTGAGGCAGCAAGAGGAAGAGCCTGATTTTGGAAGGCAGACCCACACAGGCTGTGTTGAGTCTGAGATTCCTGAAGAACCCAGGATCACGTCTCACTCTTCTTTCTCTCAGGAGCTAATTAAACCTGATCCTTTGGACACAAAGGCAACAGGATGGCAGATGCAGAATACCAAGAACATAGGGGAGGCGACCAGAAATCCCAACCTGTTGCCGAGGGCAAATTCTGTGAGGAGCCACATGCCCTGCTGCCCAGTAAGAGACAAGTGATTGGATTTTATTTAATTTTTTTAATGCCTGAATTTGATTATGTCCGTTACTCAGCCATTCTCCCTTCCTAAGTATAAAGGAAATGGCAACTTTTCCTTCCCACCTGAAGGCTGTGTCCAAGGTCTGAGCAATGCGGTCAAATATTACTCCCTAATGACTGTGGTTCCTTCTCAGCTCACTGTCTAAATTCTTGACCATAAAAGACACTTTTACCCAAATAAACGTTGAAAAAAAAATTTTTTTTTAATAAAAAATAAAAAAAATAAAAATATTTTTCATGCAGAGTGTAATTGGAAGCATAGATTAATTGCCCACCCCACCCCCTTTTTTAAGTACTTACTCAATGCCAGGGTGAGAGTGCGGTGCAATTGTCTGTTTTACAAGTGAAACACATGGAGGTGAAGTGGTTTTACAAGGTCGCACAGCTATCATATTTGCAGTGTGAGCATTCAGACCCAGATGTAAAGGACTCCAAAGTCTGTGCTTCTAACCACCATATAAAGTTGGCATCCAACAGTTAGGCTTCACAGGAAAACCACAGTAGAAAAATGCACAGAAAATCTTAAAGTGGTTATTAATAGCTTTTATTTAAATATATATTAGCTATTTAAGAAAATCTTGGTTTTAATCTACTGTTGATTATCAGCATCTGTTTGTTTCCACTCCTAATTATAGCCAACAGCCTTCATTCCATTGTGAAGGAAGTTTAAGGTCCTTGCCCTTGTGGTCCCAAAGAATTAGTTATTTCCCTGCTGCTCTGGTCCTGAGCAAGAGTTCTTAGAGATGTGGTCGTTGTCCGGGAACCAGCATTTAGCCCGTCTTGGTGCTCCCTTCCTTCTTGGATGGGAGCTCTGTGTCCTTCCTGTGCCTCTCGGCAGGTGGACTGTATTAGCAACAACTTGTATAGAAATGTCCATTTGGGTGTTGGCCTAGCTCTGGTTCGTGTGTGTTTATATGTGTGAGTAATGTATAAACCATGACTATATATGGGTTTTCTAAGTTTTACATTAAATTTTTTCTTGGTAAATATAGACACATGATTTTGTGCAGTTGAGTCATATTGTATATGCCAGGGGTTTTCTTTACTTTTTCCCCTTTGTTCGTAAAGCTTCCTTCCGTCCACCCACACAGCCTCCCTCCTTATCACGCTGTTATATGTAGAAAAGGTATGTGAAACAGAACACGTAGTCTTCCATATTTTTCCATGCTCATGTAATCACTTATCAAATATATCTATGTACGGTGATACATACAAATCACATAATGGGCAGCATTCCAGAATATTATGGTAAAAAGGTGGGATCCTGTTAGAAATACTTTATTAAAAAATACACATACCTTTCAACCAGCTGTCTCACAGAAATAAAAGCACTGAGTTGTAAGATTATGTGTCAGGAGTATTTCCTATAGTATTATTCATAATAGCAGGAAGGAAGGGGAATGATTGAATAGAGAATGATAGTCTATACCATGGAATTTTAGGCCATCATTTAAAACAATGAATTTGAGGGGCACCTGGGTGGCTTAGTCAGTTGGGCATCTGACTTCGGCTCAGGTCATGATCTCACGTTTCGTGGGTTCGAGCCCCGCATCGGGCTCTGTGCTGACAGCTCAGAGCCTGGATGCTGCTTTGGATTCTGTGTCTCCCTCTCTCTCTGCCCCTCCCCTGCTTGCACTCTGTCTCTTTCTCTCTCAAAAATAAATAAACATTAAAAAATTTTTTTTAATTTTTAATAATGAATTTGATGTATGCCAGAAGCATCTCCTCTATGACTCTGTTATGAACTTTAGTGTTCTTCTTCCTTTACTGACATTTTAGTGCAGATTCAAGAGGGAGAAAAAAAAGAAATGTGTTTGGACAGTTTTCTTTATAATTGAAAATCTGGCTAAGTAGATTCCAAGACCTGCTTTATCTTCTGTTTCTCCTTTTACTAGAGCTCTTAGTAGCACCTACTTATCCTTTCATATTTCAGAAATAGAAACTATCCAGTCCACAAAAAATTAAGTTCTTTCTTCTTTCCTGGCTTTTAACTCCTACTGGTCTTTTCTGCCAGCAACATCTGAAGGGGCACAACCTAAGCATTGTCTCTAAAATTAAATTCAGAATTAACGAAATGTCAGTTCAGAAACCGTTCCCGGCATATTTGGATTTTCTTGGAAATGAGGCTCTTTGGAAAGACAGTGTTTCTTTGTAACCATAGCTGTTCCTTTTTCTATCTCTTTCGGTCCTGTGCAGATTTGAAAAAGGGCGTATCTACACATTCATTGGAGAAGTCGTTGTTTCTGTGAACCCTTACAAGTTGCTGAACATCTATGGGAGAGACACAATTGAGCAATATAAAGGACGTGAGCTGTACGAGAGACCGCCTCATCTTTTTGCAATTGCTGATGCTGCTTACAAAGCTATGAAGAGGCGCTCAAAAGACACTTGTATTGTGATATCAGGTATTCAGAGGGGATCCCCTGTACTTTCAGGGTCAAAATCCATTTAACTTAGTAGGTACTCAAGGATCCAAACTGTTGAATAGATCTTTTTTGAAGTTAGAAAGGTAAGCAATTTTATTGGAGAAAAAAAAAAGTACAGTGAGCATTAACCAAGAAATCCTTTCTGACCAAAGTGTGGTCTCGGTTCATTTGCAAATACACGTTACGTGTGGATGGGCTTCTGGTCAATTTTGTAGACTGAGCCAACATGCAAGATTCTTCCTCTCACCTCAAAGACATAAAAGTACTGGATAAAATGTTAACAAAAAGTCATTTTAAATAATAGCAGAATGAAACCAAGAAAATGAAGTCCTGAGTTACCAAAAATGAAGAATGAACTCAAAGTCGGATTGGTGAAAGGGACCATACAGGCATGGGAACCAGGGATGGGCTCTCAGAGCCAGAGGCTGGAGCTCTAAAGCCTGAAGAGCAGAGAGACAGGTGATAGACTCTGTGTGCCCGAGAGCTGGAACTGACCCCTCCGAGTAAAGCTGAGCTCTTCGAGGAATCTTGCGTAGTAAATTGAGGACAGGGAAAGTATCTGCCCGCTGACCCAGGATGGCCTCTCCCAAAGTGTGGGAATTTATTTTGGTGCTAATAATACCTCACATCTGCATTAGGGGCTTTATACTTTAAAACTACTTTTTTGATCTTCATTCCATTTTGGTTATCAAAACTGTTGGGTGGTAGGACAGTTGTGTTTCTACTTCATAGGTGAGAATATTAAGGGTCAGAGGAGTTATGTAACTTAATGCTGGAGAATTATATCCTAGGACTATGTTATATTAAATGATGAAAGCAATATTGCCTGATTATAAAAGAAAGAAGGGAGCAAACAATCATGTAAGTGTTTAAGAGCAAAAGCCCCTTCCCTCTGAATAACCTGTTACCCCCAAAACTTCAGCAGTAACAGCTGTTAATTTAGTGTTGGTGCTTTTATACATTTTTTTCTGTATATTATACATAGAGTCACACATGCATATGAAATTGTATTATAAACATATTACAGAATTACGTTATAAACGCTATTACATGTGTTTTTCCATTTAACAACACAGAGTGGGCACTTTTCCTTAGCATACATACCTCTACGGAAGCAGGGGGTTCTCAACAGTTGTGTAGGATTCCATTGAATAGTGGAATCATTTATTTGCCTGGTCCTCTACTGACAGGCATTTTATTTTCAGACTTTAGCTGTGATACATAGTATAGTCTGCAGAAATACTCCTTAAACCTTTGAAGATTATTATTATTATTTGATTATATTCATATTTTTAGTATTTCTGTAGTATAAATTTCTGCAGGTGGAATTCTTGAGTCAGGAGGCATGTACATTTAACAATTGGGTAGCTCATTCTAAATTGATCCCTTCTTCCCACATTACACCACCTGTCATGCTCTCTCTGTGACACTGTGTCTGGAGCCTGCTGTTTTGTTTTGCTTTGTTTTCACCAAAATTACTCTAACTTTAATTTTCTGGAGGAATTATTTCATCCTCATGACGATTAAAAGAAATTTGCTATAGAGAAGAAGGTTTTATGAATTTAGCCATGGCCACTGTTTGAGGCACTAGCTTGTTGCTTTTCTGCTATACTCAAGAGTCACAGCCAAGTACAAAGACTTTGGTCTAAGGAATTTGTTTACCACAGTTTATCTCTTGATATTTTTGTGCTAAATCTTAATTTGTAATCTACTTGTTATTTTACTTCTTTAGTAGTTTTACTTTTTTTTTTTCCAACATTTTCAGATCTGTTAGAACCTATACCATATCAAGATAGGAGGAAATAACTCATAAAATCAAACAATGAAACGTAAAGAATTTTAAGTAACTAACATCAGAATTTGCAATTATTCTAGTAAAAACTAGCTTCCTCTTGGTTTAAGTTACAGTGTTAAGCCTTGCACAATTCTTCCACCAGGGGAGAGTGGAGCTGGTAAGACTGAAGCCAGTAAGTACATTATGCAGTACATCGCGGCCATCACCAACCCCAGTCAGAGAGCAGAGGTTGAAAGGTAAGGGCGGAATAAAAATGGGGAGACATGCTGATTGGAGCTTCATTTTCTTTCTTTCTTTCTTTTTTTTAAACATTTATTTATTTTTGAGAGAGACAGAGACAGAGCACGAGTAGAGGAGGGGCAGAGAGAGAGGGAGACACAGAATCCGAAGCAGGCTCCAGGCTCTGAGCTGTCAGAGAGCCCGATGCAGGGCTCGAACTTGTAAACCCTGAGATCATGACCTGAGCTAAAGTTGGATGCCTAACTGACTGAGCCACCCAGGCGCCCCATTTTTTTTTTCTTTTTTCTTTTCTTTTCTTTTTTTTTCTTTTCTTTTTTTTTTATGTTTATTTTTGAGAAAGAGTGCAAATGGGGAAAGGCCAGAGAGAGAGGGAGAGAGAGAATTCCGGTCAGGCTCCATGCTGTCAGCATAGAGTCCATGAACCCACGAACCATGGGTTCGAACTCACGAACCGTGAGATCATGGCCTGAGCTGAAGTTGGACATTTAACCCACTGAGCCACCCAGGCGCCCCAAGGAGACATTTTTCTTAATTGTGACACATCCCACTTATCATTCGGACTTGGCAATCTCCTCTTAACAAGGATAAGGATGTAAGTTATCTTAATTTCCATGGCAGCTCAGGAGAATGACTGGCTGGGAACTAACTTCATTTTGTTTTTAAACTCAGTTGGTATAGTAGAGTAAGGCATTTGTAGATTTACTAGTCTTTCATGAGCATATCTCACCAGAGTTTTAAAGATAATTGCCGTGTGGCTCCTGGGTGGCTCAGTTGGTCATGATCTCAACGTTTGTGAGTTCAAACCCCACATTGGGCTCTGTACAGTCAGCAGAGCCTGCTTTGGATCCTCTGTCGCCCTCTCTGTCTCTAACAAACACAAAGATAGTTGCCTTTGTTTACCATAAGCGTGGAATCGCCCCTCCCCACATTTTAAACGTATACTTCTGTGTGTTGTGGTGTGTGTGTGTGTGTGTGTGTGTGTGTGTGTGTGTGTAGAGAGAGAGAGAGGAGGTTGTGGGGTCACTTACGGTGGTAGTGGGTTGGCTGCATTCGGTTATTTCAGCGGCCACAGTTATTTCTATAGCAGGCATGCTTGTGTGCCGGTAAAAGAGGAATTCTGTCGGTGAAATAAAAACAAAGACTTAAGGTCTAGCATGAAGTTAAAAAGTATCCACTGGGAGACACTGCTTCCTAGAAAGTTAGCATTCATTGAATAAAGAATGAATTAAGTAACTGATACAATGGAGAGATTTCATTCAAACAAAATGAGCGATTTCTAAACTAATAAAGACCGTCTTTATAATGTATAACTAAATGCAATAAATTTCAGTGTTTTAGGCTTTACAAACAAGTACTTTTAAAAATTTTATCATTTTCTGTGTCACCCATTCTTTCTCTTGAGAACATATCTTTTTTTTTTAATTTTTTTTTCATGTTTTTATTTATTTTTGAGAGAGAGAGAGATAGAGCATGAGCAGGGGAGGGGCAGAGAGAGAGGGAGACACAGAATCCGAAACAGGCTCCAGGCTCTGAGCTGTCAGCACAGAGCCCGACGCGGGGCTCGAACTCACAGACCGTGAGATCATGACCTGAGCCGAAGTCGGATGCTTAACCGACTGAGCCACCCAGGAGCCCTGAGAACATATCTTTTTTTAAAGATTTTTCTTTATACAAATAAAACATGTTCACTTAAACTAAAAATTATAGTCTTTTGTCCCAGGTGGAAGGTCCCTGAAATCCCACTCTGCAAACTCCTCCCCTGTCAACCTAGGAAACTATAGTGAAGTGTACTCTTCCCTCCAGCTTTTTAAGCATCGACTAACGTATGTGCATATACACATACACTCACGCATACACACGCACAGTCCCTGCCACACATATTATTTTGCAACTTAATTTCTCATTCATTAATATGTTCTGTGGACATCTGTCTCCATCAGTTCACACTGTAGTAGGAAAACAGTAACTTTTACCCAACCCTGTTGGTGGGCAGTTAAGGTTGACTGGTTTGTTTTACTGTCGCAAATAATGCTGCTGTCAGCATCTTCGTATGAACCTTTGGATGTGCTTTAACAAAATCTAGTTTTCTAAAAGGCTCGGCCTGGAAAACTCTCTATAAGGACTTTCATTTATCTGTGTTCAAGAGTGAAGAATATGTTGCTCAAGTCCAACTGCGTTTTGGAAGCTTTTGGAAATGCCAAAACCAACCGTAACGACAACTCAAGCAGGTTTGGAAAATACATGGATATCAACTTTGATTTCAAGGGGGATCCTATTGGTGGACATATCAATAACTACTTATTGGAGAAGGTAAAATGTGTTTAACTTCTGAGGGTAATGTTTTCGGGTGCTGAATTTTGTTTAAACCTAATAGTGCTTATACAATTTCTAGAATGACTTCAAAGTAGCTTTTAATCCTACTGTGCCTCCCTTCGTGCTTCTCAGTCAGCTTTCATGACAAGATATTCTCCTTTTGTGTTCTTATTAGTTCTTAGGATATCAGGTTGGGAAAGGCTCGAGCTTTGTAGATAAGGATTTAGGGGCGTTTGTGGTGGGGGCGGGAGTGGCATTCGAGTATGTGCCACCCTCCGGGTGAGGTCTGGCCAAAGACCAAGCCAGGACTAATCAGTTCCACTCTGGTGACACCACCATCTCCCATGTGTCATCTTGTTGTTTTCCTTAGTGCACCACAGGACAGCTAGTGGGTCCAGTTTCTGAAATTACACTCTTCTCACAGAATCATGCCCGTACAACAATCTTTTATAACTGAGATATAATTGACCTTTCACATTGTGTATGTTTAAGGTATACAACATATTGATTTGATATTCCCATCTATATTAATTTGAATCTCATTTTCTTCTGGTTTCTATTCGTAGCATCCTTTATGGCAGTGTAATGCAGTATAATCTAATTTTTAAGTTTATTTATTTATTTTGAAAGATACAGCATGGGGGGGGGGGGGACAAAGAGAGAGGAAGAGAATCCCAAGCAGTCTCCACACTCAGCATGAAGCCCGACCCGAGACTCAGTTCCACGAGTGTGAGATCACAACCTGAGCCAAAATCACGAGTCAGACATTCAGCCAACTGACCCACCTAGGTGCCCCAGTATCATCTATTTTTTTTGTTAAATTGAAGTCAGACTGGTAAGGAAATAAGTGTTTTTGTCAGTGTCAGTTACAAAAGGACTGGAAATCCCAGGTATTATCACTCTTTTTCCAAAATGTTTTAGGGCTTCACTTTATGTACCTAGTCAATCAAAAGGACCCCTTTGAATGAACATACATTTTGAGCCCTCTCAGAGCAGCCTTTTGGGAGCCATCTAAGGCAGGGGCCTTTACAGACTGATCTTGCTCAACTGATTTTCCTACAAGATATAAGGCATTGCTCTGAAATGCCTGGCAGACCCTGGGGGAAGGCACTGTTGTGAATATTACTCCCGAAACATTCCTTCCTGTTTTCCTACTTCCAATCCTCCTTCCCCCAAAAATTCCATCTTTAGGCTCCGGGTTAAAAAAAAAAAAAGTTTCATTTTCAGAAAGTTTAGGGAACTCTGTTTTAAGCAGTAAAAAGAATATTAAAAATTGCACAGAGGAGGCCTAGTTTTAGGTGGGTAATCCATGGGGTCTGTTAGGACATTTAAATGCACTGTTGGTATACGATTTCCTGAGAATTGTGGCTTTTTGACCTTGAGGTGCGTTCTCAGATTAACGATTTCATGTGGTGTTTTTTAGTCTCGAGTGATTGTGCAACAGCCAGGAGAAAGAAGCTTTCATTCTTTCTATCAGGTTAGTATTTGCTGTCGTGCAGGTAATCGATCATTTGCCCAGTTGTACCAGGGATGAATATTCTATATCCGGGCTCTGCCCTGTCCTGGGCCTCCATTGCCTCCGTTGGCCCACAACACATTACACATGTGCACACGTGCACCCCACCCCCCCAACCCATATGCTGCTTCTGAGATGTGATGAGCGTGATTGTTATGAAGAAGTAGTCACATGACTGACTACCTTGGTTGAGCATCACATTTCTTTGCAATGTAGAGAATAGTTTAATATCTATAAAGGCTTTTGAAGTGGTAAGTTCCGAATATGTTAAATTAATTGTGTTTTATTTTTGATAGAAGCTGTTGTTCCCATATTTGGGAGCCCCACGGATAGCAATACAACTTCAGTTTTATTTTGCTCATGGAGGCTATAAAGCAAGATGATTACTTAAAATGATTATGAACACAAGGGAGGATTGTCTTCTTTATCCCATCAAAGCTGTGATTGCTTAGGAAAAAAATCTAATACGTCTTTTGAGAATGCTTTTAGAGTTTAAGGCAAGATCTTTTAAAATAGCCTTTCTGGGGGCGCCTGGGTGGCGCAGTCGGTTAAGCGTCCGACTTCAGCCAGGTCACGATCTCGCGGTCCGTGAGTTCGAGCCCCGCATCAGGCTCTGGGCTGATGGCTCAGAGCCTGGAGCCTGTTTCCGATTCTGTGTCTCCCTCTCTCTCTGCTCCTCCCCCGTTCATGCTCTGTCTCTCTCTGTCCCAAAAATAAATAAACGTTGAAAAAAATAAATAAATAAATAAATAAAATAGCCTTTCTGTTAGCAGGCCTTCATGTTCAGAGAACAAGTATGATACATTATTACAGTTTTTAAAGCCAAAAGTAATATAAACCAGTGCTAATAAATAAAGCGGGTGATCCAATGAAGCAGTGCTGTTTGGGATTTGTACAAAGAGAAACTATAAATCAGTAAGATTGATTTCCCTGTGGAAACTGTCTCTGCAGGTAATTGAACGGTGACAGTTGAAGTTGAATACAATTCAGCGGAGTTCAGTTTCTTCTAGGAACTGCTTTAAGGGTGTTCGTTCGTATGTACAAATTCTGGTGTATTTAGTTTAAAAGATCACTTTTCAAAATCTGATAATTATACCTTTTAAGTAAAACAAAGCATACAGTTTAGTGTAGAGAGTTTAAACACGCTGCCTTCCAAAGGCATGTTCTGTATAGAAAAGCTACCCATATTGTGCTTGTGTTTTTGTTGACGATTCACCATGTTTTCATTCAACTATTTTTCTACCAAATGTAGAAGAGTTCTTTTATTTCCAGAACCCATAACTTCTCCCCAGTATTTTTCCCACCGGATGAAAGTGTTAAAATTGGTCTTTGTTCAACACTGCAGCCATGGTTATTTATCCGGTGGTGCTCCTGCCTTGGATACAGAGATTGATGAGGAGAGGCTGTGTGTTTCCAGTGTGGTTCAGCATGTGACTGTCTGCTGATGCCTCTTACTTCTGTGGCAATATTGACTTTTTCTGAATTCTGAAACGCAACCCGATCCTGTCTAGATAATGAGGCTGTTTAGCAAGTGTGCATCACAACCCACAGGCACCTGTTTGACAAATGACCATAGTAAAAACAAGATTACCATTGTCAGAATGTTTGCTGTAATTGGTTGTGTATGTATCTTACCAATTTATTTCTAATTAAATATTTTTTTCAGCTACTCCAAGGAGGTTCAGATCAGATACTACGCTCTCTACATCTCCAGAAATCCCTGTCATCTTACAACTATATCCGCGTAGGAGCTCAGTTAAAGGTAAGGGCTTCTTCTCTGAGTTGTAGAATCAAAGAATCAGAGGGGACATTAAGTAAAAGTCTAGTCCAGCCTGATGCCTTTAAGCAAATGAGTGACTCTTTTCTTCTTCTGGTTTTTAAATTCTCGCGGACAGAGATTCACTACGTTGTTGGTCAGCAACTTCACTCAACAACCATTTCTGTATTTCATCACCATCTGATGGGAAAGAAGTTTCTGTCTTGTGATCTTGTGTTTTCTTTGGACTTTTAACCCTATTCCTTTTGACACTATAAAAAGATTGATAGGACAAGGAAATCCACCTCAAAAGAAGATACCGTATGATTTGGCCACAGGCGAGTTGGGAAGACAGAAGGAACATTAAAAGCACTTTGGTTGAAAATGAGAATCAAAGATCTCCATTCACTATTATTTCAAGTATTGATTTTAACGTATACATAGTTTTGTGACCCCTGGAACATTTCTATTCAGCCTCCAAAATTTTCCACTTTTTTCCTCTTCGTTTGTATGCGGGTCCTTTGCACTCACATATCAGATGCTTTTCTCCTTTTTTATTTCTAATTAGTTTCCTGCTGGTCACTTTACAACTAATCCTAATAACATAGTAGTTTGTTGATGGTGGGTTATCAAATGGTAATTACAATATTATCCTGTTTTGTTAGGGGAAAGGTGTATAAATACATAAAGTGAGCTATGGAGGGAAATAGACCAAGGTTTTAATTACTGATTCAGGTTGGATGAGGTTACAAGTACATGTTCTTGTACTCTTTCATATCTTAAATTTCTTCTATAATAAAAAATATATTGCTTTTGTAGTCAGAGGAAAAATAAAAGAATTTATGAAAGGAAAGGATCCAAGGTGTGGGAGGTGTTTGGTTTTTTTTTATTATTATTATTATTCATCTGAAGCAAATTATACCTGCATTGCTGATTTAGCCATATTTTTATTGCCATGCATGGAAAGAAATGATATTTAGGCTTTCACGATTAATTTTCCATTGTTTGACATTCAAGTTGCCTAGTTGTTTTGTTTTGTTTGCTTTTACAGTCATCTCAGAGTAGGATGTTTGGGTGAAAGTTAATTGAAAACAAGACAATAGAGGGCAACATTCGAGCTTTGAGCTTTCTGAGAGTAGGTGAGCGGCCCTCAAAGACCAGAAGGGGATTATGAAACCGGCACTTAAAAAGCCCGTGACCAGAGGGGCTCCTGGGGTTTCAGTCGATTACACGTCCAACTCTTGGTTTCAGCTCAGGTCATGGTCTCGTGGTTCCTGAGTTTGAGCCCTGTATGGGGCTCTGCGCTGACAGCTCAGAGCCTGCTTGGGATTCTCTCTCTGCCCTTCCCCCACTTGTGCTCTTTCTTTCTCGAAATAAACATTAAAAAAAGGAAAAAGCCAGTGACCAGAAATGTTCCTCTTTAATCAAATTGTCTTATTGACCAAATTACTTTGGACCCGGTCATGTGGCACCCCCACAGAAAGCCTTTGCTCTAAGCTAAATGTAGCTTGGGTTCCCTTTTCCAAGAGTTTCCCAGTCCTCTTTTCTCTGCCTTCCTTTTGCATCCTAACAGAAACAAAGACATAATGTGTGATCATAGTCAAAACCTAAAAAACGAAGCACCGGCAGAAAATAAAAATAAATAATAACTAAACTAAATAATAACTAAAGCTTACCATCCAGAGATAGTTATTGATAATGGTTTATGTATATTCTTTTCTTTTCCTTTCTTTTCTCTTCTTTTTCTAAAGATTTTATTTTTAAGTAATCCTTACATCCAACACGGGCTTGAAATCATCACCCGGAGAACAAGAGTCACATGCTTCACTGACCCAGGCACCCAGGCACCCAGGCACCCCTGTGTATATATATTTATGAATGGAATCATGCAATAAACTCTGATTAAATAAGCTTGCTTTTATTAAATCATAATCATTAATATCTTCCCATTAACAAATATAAGTTAATAGCATGATTTTAGTAATTATAAAGTATTATACTCTGTGTCACAATTTTACTTAACTACCCTAAAATATAGGAATCATGTATATTGAAGATACTTTGGGTTAAAGGGAAGATAAAACTCAATTGAAAGTCTCCAAAAACAATCAGGAACTTAATTATCTCACATAACAAGAAACCCTGAGATGTGACAGTTCTGGAGTTGGTTAATTTAATGCCTTCACAGCTTTGGTGGGGATCAAGATGTTGTTTGTTTCTTCACCTTAAAACTCCCCCACTTCACTGGATTTGGTTTGTATGCTTAGGCTGATCTTCCTCACAGTCCCAAAGTGGCAGCAGCAGTTCCAGGAGTCACAGGCAGAGGAAACATTCCTGGCTTATGTCCCGTTTTAGCTAGGGAAACCTCATGTCTTTCTTACTGACCAGAATAGCATCACAGTCCCATGGCTGCGCAGTCACCTGGTCAGAGGAACAGGATCACTGTGATTAGTTTACACCAGTGAAGATTTACCCCTGGAGGCTGGGGGAGCACCAGTCCTGAAGGACACGTGCACTTGGAGAGAGGTGAACAGATCAGGGTTCTAGCAGCCCACACTTCCCCAAGTAGGACATTTTCCCCCCTAGTTTCTATGCAATTCCAGCACAGTTGCAGCTTCTAATAATACTAACATCTGATACTTGTCAAGTGCTTTTTATGTGCTAGCAACTAAGGAGGCATCTCACGTAATTCTCATTCAGTTCTTACGGCAACCCTGTGAGAAACGCGTTATTATGCACATTTCACCCATGAGGAAATTGAGACTAGATGAAGTTGAGTATCTTGCCCAAGGTCAGAGAACCAGGAGGTGGAGGAACTTGCCTGGCTGCATCCTGGGTACTAGAGGAACATGTACTCAGAGACCCCTTCCCGTGTCCCTCCTCACGAGATGAGCATTAGGCCAGCTCCTTGATGTCCCGGCCAGAGGAGAAATTCACCCAGGAGAGGACCAGTTGGGCTCAGGCCCTCTGGAGCTGCTGCTTTGGGAAGACTTTGGAGATGGGCAGCTGACCATCACTTCACTGTGAATTTCTGTAGACATGTTTGTATTTCCAGCCTGATGGCTGCAGCTCCTCGAGGCTGGTGATTTGTCTTTGAACCCCTGTCTTATTCTGATTGGGCCGCTACAACAAAAGTGCCAAAAATTGGGTAGCTTTTATACAACTTTATTTCTCACTGTTCTAGAGGCTGGGAAGTCCAAGATAAAGGCACCTGCGGATTTGGTGAGGGCCTCCTTCCTGGTTTATAGGTGGAGCCTTCTCTGTGTCCTCACAGGGCAGAAGGGATGAGGAATCTCTGGGGCCTCTTGTAATGGCACCGATCCCACTTCTTGAGGGCTCCACCCTTGTGACCTAATTACCTCCCAAAGGTCCTACTTCCTAATTCCATCACCTTTAGGAGGGCAGGGGGTCATGATTTCAGCATAGGAATTTTGGAGGGATACAAACATCCAGTCTATAGCAACCCCCCAAATCAGGTAGATCTGATGCGCTGCATGCTTGTGAAAAAGTGGTTGTGATCCCAGAATATTCAATAGCCAGCTGAACGATTGAGGCAGGCCGGTTTGCTTTGGGGGGGGCCTGCTTTTCTCCACCTGTGAAATAAAAAGCCTGACTGTTCAAGAGAGAGAGTGTTATTCCCAGCCTGTACAAGAAGGCTAATTCTAGGGGGAAAAAGCCACCGGCAACAACAGCCAGATGTGTGTCTCAGAGGCTCCCACAGCTGGTATTTCCATTTGTGATTCCACATCTCATGTTTTCTTCACTTGTGACCGAGTGGCAGTCAGCTTCTGTGAGGCAGCTCAGGACTTGCTCCCTCACTGAAGGTTCCAGACAAGTATGTGATGCTTATTTTGCCTGATGGTGGCCATCTCGCACACAGATGGACATTATGTGTGCTGAGTGATGTTTCTGCCCCTGAAATAATTTTCATTTTCTTGAGGTACTTGGTGAATTGCTACAACAGCCTCAAGACCTTGGCTAAACCTGAACGTATTCTCATAATTGGTAGATGTTCACGTTCGTCTGAAATGTCGGTGACTTAAGTTCTCTGTTTTCATTCCCAGTCTTCCATCAACGATGCTGCAGAATTCAAAGTAGTAGCTGAAGCCATGAAAGTAATTGGCTTCAAACCTGAGGAGATTCAAACGGTGTATAAAATTTTGGCTGCTATTCTTCACCTGGTGAGTAGGGACGCCTTTCAGAATATGTTGCTTCCCTGTGGAGACAGGAGGCTCTTTCGGGAGACTTTGAATTTCCCCTGTAGCTTTCAAAAGTAATTTACATGAAGAAAATTTCTCTCCGTTTTGAAGAAATTGCTGTATCTGTGGTTCTCTCCATCATTTTATAACATTATGAAGGATTTTCTGAGCACTATAGGTTTTAAAACTTAGCTGTAGTTAGTTGTCTTACTGGTCCATCAGATTTTCAAGCGTTTAATTCCGAGGATTCAGGTATTCAGTAACCACGTGACTACCAGTGGTATAAGCTAAACACTTCTGAACAGAATACATTTCTAAAAGCACTTGAGACGTAGAATCATCAATTATCAGCACTGGAATTTTGACCATCTCACTTTTCATGTTGGGAAGTGAGCCCTAACAGGGTGGCATGACTGGGTCAAAGGCATAGCCAGGTCACGGTGGCCGACACTGCAGACCAGGTTGGCCAGCTCACGGGTCAGTCATTTTCTCCGATACCACAGCAAACTCAGAGGACACGGGGGTGTGCTTGTCAGATGTCTTTCGTTACCATTTGTGTAATTATAGATGTTGAAAACATAATGAACATGGAACCTTAGAAAAAATGAGGGACAACGTGAGTTCAAATCTGGAATAAAAGTCACCTTTTACTTTAACGTGGCAAGATTTAACTTCTAGTGAAATGTGCGGGACCTATATAAAAAGTATTGTAGGGTAATGTAACTGTTCTCTTAAAGAAATGTCCCTAACTAGGAAGACTTTAACATTATTAATCGTCCCATTCTTTCAATCAGTTTATAAATAAGGTGCAACATTATCCTTCAGAAGCCAAACAGGAATTTTATTTTTAAGTTGACATAACGACTCTAGAATTTACCTGGAACAACGAACATGTAAGAAGATCAAATAAATGTACTAAAGAAGAGTAGTGGGGGGGGGGGGAACGTGACGAATTCTACCAGATTTAAAATGATAGTAAAAATGACAGTGCTTTACAACTTGTTGCAAAATATATCATCAGATTAATCAACAGATTGGTTCATGTGCCGGACAGTTGGTAGGTGGTTAGTAAGTATTTATTGCTTATTGAATAAATAAAATATAGACGGACTCACAAAGTTGGAAGGGGGGGAATTTAATATATACTACAGGTGACATTTTAAATCAGGAGAAAAAGTTTGACCGTTTGTTCAATAAATAATATTGGAGCAACTAACTAACCTGAAAAAATAACGTTAGATTCTTTGCACTACACAGCGACATAAATGCTAAGTGAGTTAGAAGCTTAAACGTAAGGGGGAAAGCGGTGTATTAGAAGAAAATATTAAATATTCATAAAATCTTTGGAGTGGGAATGGTCTAAGTATGACACAGAGTAAGGGAAACCGTAAAGCAAGAGATTCATAGATGTGACCACATAAAAATGTAAAACCTCTGTCCATCAGAAACAAACACTGCAGATGAAAAGATAGATGGGTGTCTGGAGAAGAGAGATGGGCAGTGCACTAGATTTTTATATAAACGTGATGTGTGTAGGAAATCTGTGCTACAAACAAGGTCACATTGAATTTTATCTTAAGTTGGCAAATAGATCCCGGACGTAATGTTTCAGAATCTGGCTGGAAATGGTGCGTCTTGTTTTTCTTCACCCTGCTTTAGGGAAATTTAAAATTCGTGGTGGACGGTGACACACCTCTCATTGACAATGGCAAGGTTGTCTCTATCATAGCAGAATTGCTCTCCACCAAGACGGACATGGTTGAGAAAGCCCTTCTCTACCGGACGGTGGCCACAGGTCGCGACATCATCGACAAGCAGCACACGGAGCAAGAAGCTAGCTATGGAAGGGACGCCTTTGCCAAGGTGGGATTTTAACTGACACTCTCACGGGCCTGGTGTCGACAGACCTTTACCAAGGCTGCAGCAGTGGCTTCTTTGTTACCTTCTTGGTCTCCTGTCCACCCACCCCTCTCGCTACTTCTGTGAGGATGTATCCAGACGTTCCTAGAAAGTGGGTTAAGGCTTTTAGAAACCATGATGTTTGGGGCCATCACAGTCTCCATAAAACCCCCTGACTGCGAGCGTCATTCTCAGGACACATTCTGAGGAAAGTGCAGCTCACTGACTGGGAAGCTAATGATGGGCCCTCTCCTCGTCCTGCATTTTGCTTTGCTCTGCCAGTGTTTGATGAAGACCACCTCAGGTTCCCCGATGGAGTTCTCATCCCTTGTCTTTAATGTCTGTGTGGTGATGGCACCATGATTTATTAGCCATCCTCCTCCTAAGTCATTCACCTTGTTTCTAATGCTGCCAGATCCGTGTGTGTGTATCCCTCCACACCAGCACTTTTATTTCCGTTGGACAAACTCCCAGGAGGGAGCTCACCAGAGCTCGGGACACACTGATTTTAAACTTTAAATTTACTGAGTTTATGGGTGGACGGTAATACTTGATTATTACTTTAATTTTCATTGCTAGTGTATCTGAGCGTCTTGCCATATCTTTTTGTAAGGTATTTAAATCCATTCTGAGAATTTCCTGGTAATGTCCTTTGTACGTTTTTCTTCAAGGCCGCTCTCATTTTATTGCCAGTTTGTAAGAGCTTCTAACTTTAACTCTTTATCTGTTATCTGCATGGCACATGTTTTGTGTCCCCAAGTTTACATTTCCTTGTTTTCTCGGTCTTTTTGCTGGTTGGTTAGGTTGCCGCATATTCTGTTTTTACCTGTAGAAGTCTCAGGCTTGGTTTTTAGTCTCAAGAGGAATTTGGATTTATCCGAGTGCAGTGAAGAGTGGGAGATTCTAAGCAGAGGCAGTGACAGCAAGTCTGCGTGTTTAAAACGGTAGCTCTGGCTTGAGCATGGTGAATCTTATGGGGGCTGGGGGTGGCAGTGAGGAGACCGTTACGGAGATAGTTCAGCATCCAGGAGAGAGACCATGGCAGGTAGTGTAGAAATGGGGAAAAGAGGATGATTTGAGACAGACTATATTTGGGATGTGAAATCCACAGCCCCTGTTTGTCTGGGGAATGATAAAATCAAGGGTTATTCCTAATGTAGTCTGGCTTCAGCCTACGTCTCCTGCTTCCTTCCACACCACACTCCAGCCTCCTTTCTTCATTCCAGTGCTCAGGAATTGCAGCTTGTCGTTATCCCTTTCGCCTTCCAGCTGTAGGGCCTCGGCACATGCTGTTGCCTCTGCTTGGATTGCTTTTCTCTCCCCCTCTTTCCCGGCCAACTCTTACTCATCCTTCTGGTCTCAGCCCACTTTCTCAGAGAAGCTTTCCCTGGCCTCCGAACTCTGAACAGGTTAAATTATCCTCAGATCCCACGCAACTCACCTTGAGAGAGAGAGAGAGAGAGAGAGAGAGAGAGAAATTCTTTCCTTCATTCTACTCCCTATGCTCCTTGGAGATTGAGACTGTGTTTATGTTTGTTTAGTACTGTGTCTCCAACAACCTGCGTATAGTAAGTACTCAGCAAATATCTGTTGAATGGATGAATGACTAAATTCCTAAATTTCTGGTGTCATTTGTTCTTGGTTAGAAGTAGAGTATGAACAGTTGTCGGAGATGGGAAGATCAGGAGCCTAGCGGTACGTGTGTCTGTGACGGCCGCGAGACCTCTAGGCATGTTGTCAGGTATGCTGGCAAGCACAGGAATCTGGCGCTTGGAGGAGAGATCTGCGTTGGGGGAATATTACTATTACATATCGCTATTATTATGTTCCTACTGTGTAATATCTAAGGAGATGACTCAGGAGGTGTTAAGAGAGTGAAGAGGACTGAGGCCAGTTAAGGGAGACCCTATCAGAGGTCACCAAGAAGGAGCAGCCAGTGAAATGAGAGTAAAATTAAGGTAGTGACATATCACGAATCCCAGAGAGGAGAGTGTTTCCAGAAAAGGGTGGGAAACCAGGTGGAGTGAGACTGAGCGTCTAAGATGTCCATATAGAAGCACAAGAAAGTGCCTACACTGAGGTGCTTGGGGTCCTTGATGAACCATTTCAGGGGAGCGGTGGGAGGTAAGCAGAGCCTAGAGTGGATCAAAGAGCAAAGGGGAGGTGAAAACTGGAGGCAGTTTGTGTAGATGAGTGCAGGTGGAGACAGTGTAGCTGGAGGGAGCTGTTGACGATGAGTGTGCTAAAGATGTGGCACCGCAGAGCGTGTTTGTATCAGCACGTGTGTGTGTGTGAGTGTGTGGTGCGTCTGTCCACGGGTGTCTTTGTGTGAGTGTCCTTGGGTATTGGATATGTGTTTCATTCTTAAGGACTTCAAACTATGGTCTTTGGTCCAGATCTTTACGTAGCATTATAAATCAGTGTTTATATTTTTAGAATCCATAGGGCTCTACTGGGACATAGATATTAACTCATTGGTTCCCCGTGTTTTTGTTTGTTTTTTTTTAATTTTAGAGAGCGAGCACACACGAGCAGGGGAGAAAGGTAGAGAGAGAGAGAGATTCTTAAGCAGACTCCATTCTCAGTGTGGATTCCAACACAGGGCTCGATCCCACGACCCTGGGATCATGATCTGAGCCAAAGTCAAGAGTTGGACACTCAACCAGCTAAGCTGCCCAGGCACCCTGGTTCCCCACTTTTTAATACTTGATGAAACTCACAATAAAGCAATGAAACAAATTCTGTAAGGGAGGCAGCCAATGACTGATATAGCCGGGCACAGAGATGCACCTGGGAATGGTTTTGGGACGCCATAATGACTGATAGTAATCTTTAAAAAACCCAAACCATTTACTTGAGTGTTGCATACATCATGTCGTTTTTCTTATTTGGAAAAAATTTGTTTTAATGTTTTATTTATTTTTGAGAGAGACAGAAAGACAGAGTGCGAGCAGGGAAAGAGCAGAGGGAGAGGGAGACACAGAATCCAAAGCCGGCTCCAGGCTCTGTCTGAGCTGTCAGCACAGAGCCCGATGCGGGGTTCCAACCCATGAACCAAAATAGCATGACCTGAGCCAATGTCGGACACTTACCCAACTGAGCCAGGTCAGTGCCCCTTCATCATGTAGTTTTTTTTTTTTTTTTTTTAATTTTTTTAAATCTTTATTTATTTTTGAGAGGGAGACAGAATGTGAGCAGGGGGGGAGCAGAGAGAGAGGGAGACACAGGATCCGAAGCAGCTCCAGGACCTGATCTGTCAGCACAGAGCCCAATGCGGGGCTCGAACTCACAAACCATGAGATCATGACCTGAGCTGAAGTCGGACTCTCAACCGACTGCGCCACCCAGGTGCCCCCATCATGTAGTTTTTAAACAGGTGATGTGCATTTCTAATTTTTCTGCTTAGAGTAACAACAGCTACATTGAATGGTAAGGAGAAGGTGGATGGTAATGTAAAACTTACCGCCAATCTAAACAGAAGACTCAGTCCCATGTGGGGACTGAGAATTAATGATGTCGTTTTCCTCACAGGCAATATACGAACGCCTTTTCTGTTGGATTGTTACTCGCATCAATGACATTATTGAGGTTAAGAACTATGACACCACAGTCCATGGGAAGAACACTGTCATCGGTGTCTTGGACATCTATGGCTTTGAAATCTTTGACAACAACAGGTAAACTGGACAAGGTACTTAAAACTCTGTTGTTTATTTTCTAATTCTTTGAACCTCATGGATTCCTCTTCCTACAGCTTTGAGCAGTTCTGCATCAATTACTGCAACGAGAAGCTGCAGCAGCTCTTTATCCAGCTGGTTCTGAAGCAAGAGCAGGAGGAGTACCAGCGGGAGGGGATCCCCTGGAAGCATGTGAGTGGGCTTCTCCGGGAAGCACCTTCATGTGCTTCATGTGTCAGCGACAATGTCAGATCTTACCATTTTAGGAGTTTTGTTTTAATCTTCTCGAGTATGTGCAACACGTAAACATTAGCTTCCCTTTTGGGGATATGTGATTACAAGTCACGTTCAGGGTTGATAGGTGCGACTTCTCTAAGCTGCTGGCCTGCCTTGTTGGTGCCCAGAAATGCTGAGTTACCACCTTTGCACTTTCTAGCTGATGCCACATGGGTTTTCTGGTTTGTATCTGTCTAGGAGAGTTTAGTGTCATTTAGAAGTTACTCGGAGCAGTGACTTTTGCCTTAAATTGGCTGGACTTTGCTTCCAAATTTAGTTTGTCTTCTTTCCTTCCTCTTTCTCCTCTTATTTCTACTCTGTAATCTAAATGGCATTGTTATCTCCAGTTAATATGGTTTATATTCTCTGAAATCCATGCATGGAAACACCTGCATTCACATTTATTTCCATTGGCTTGCCTTCATGTCACACCTTGTTATCACCCCATGGCCCTTTGTGAACATCGACTGTTGTTACAGTCAAACAGTTGCAGTGAGGTAGTACCAGCGAGCGGGATTGCCCCAGGACACAGGCCCCAGACGTCACAGCCAAAGAGCACGACTTACTTGGCTCTCTTGTTGCTTACCGTTAGACCCCCTGCTTAAGACAGGATGAAACCTACTAAACTTTTCCTTTAAATTTGTATTTTTAAACAGTCTTGAGAACAGACTTGGAAAAAAATGCAAAAACTTTTGAGTTTCCACACGTCTCTATGTTTATAAAACTGTGTTTGTCCTCTTGCCAAATAGAACAGTGTTTTTTAAGTATCCATGTAATAGTAAAAAGCTATTTGAGGTGTTGTATGTAAATTACTTTTATATTTCTTCCCACCTTCCTACTTTCTGTCTCCTCCCATTCAGAAAGGGAGACAGTGGTATAATGAATAGCTGTCCTGCCTCAAATTTCATATTCACCTTCCATCATGTGTTAAACATCAGAATACCATAAGAAAATTTTGTTCAAGTATGTTAGTGTAATTTTACCAATTTACAAATGAACCAAAAGGTGTATTATTACTTTATAATAGGATCACCTACAATTTTGATTTACACCGTGAACTCTCGTAGCACATTGGAGATGGAATTCAATTAAGTTTAGATGCAGCTTTCTTTGAACGGATCTGGTGTACAATTTGATACGCAGTATAACTGAAGCTTAGATTTTTATAGCAAATTTAATCATGAAACTTATGATTCAGATGTGATTCAGAGATACTGGCCAAAAATACCCTTTAATAATTGGGGTATCCAATTCCACAGGCATAGCTGATAAGGAGAAAAGTCAGCAGTTCTAGTAGGCTATTCCAAACATCTGAAAAAGGAGCAGAAGCCCCAAAAATGCAAAACTCCTTAGCAAAATAAACCAGGAAATAAATGTCCTAGAGGGGGAAAAAAGCTAGATCCAAGGTAATTGTTACTGTGCTAACTACATGCCAGGTCTCCCCAAATTAAAATCTCTATTCTGGGTAATTATTTCCTTTAAAAACTCAATTTCTGAACATAGTGATTGATTTTGTTTAATGTTTTTTTACTATGGAAGATTTCAAATACACATAAGAGCAGAGATCGTAATATAATAAACTTCATGGACCCGTCACCCACCATAACAGTTACAGTGGGTTGCCAGTCTTGGGTCGATCTGTACCCACCCACACACCCCCAGATTATTTTGAAGCAGATCTCAGACATCATATTATTTCATCTGTAAATATTCCAGTGTGCTTCTTTGAAAGATAAAGCCTTTTACATTGTATGGCATTTTACAAATACCATAACCATGATACCATTATCAAAGTAAAAAAAAAATGTAATGGTCATTCCTTATTATCCTCAAATATCCACGCAGTGTTCACATTTCCTCAGTTGTTTTACAGGTTTGTTTTTACAGTTTGAATCTGGATCCAGGTAAGGTTCTTACACTGTGGTCAGTTGGTAGGACTCTCGCATACGTATAGATTTCCTGCTCCATCTCTTGTTTCCCCGCAGTCTTCCAACGAAGAGAACGAGTCGTTTGTTCTGTGGACCTGCCCACAGTCTGGATCCTGCTCGTTGCATTCCCTTGGTGTCATCTGATATATGTCCCTGATCCGCGTATGTCCTTGGTTGTTAGATCTGGAGTCTTGTGTGGTCTCAGAATCAGTGTTTTTCTGCCAGTCTGTTTCAGAGGTGGTATATGTAGATTCCCATCAGAAGGTCCCTAATGCTTGACTCACTTTTACAGGCTTTTGGTGCTGTAGTTTATGTCATTTTTGGCTGTTGACAACTTGACTGTTAGGCACAAAGCTATTTGGGGTGGCAATGGGAGCCTCTGTGCCCCTGAGCTACTCGTCATATCTCTTCTTGCCCCCTGGAACCCCCAGGAAGCCTGCTGGTAATCAGGATTGCTGGAAGAACCTGGTTTGGAAGCCACGACTTTAAGCACTGAAGTAACATTAAAGTTACAAACTAAAAGTTTCTGAACTTCTCAGCAAAGACTAATCGCTTTAGTTTTACAATTGGAACTTTAGAGGACTTAATTATTTTGTCCCTGGGACAGAAGACTTAGTCTTTAATTCCATACTCCCAAAGTCTAAGACTTCAGGTAATAATTAGTATAGAGTTACTGCTTTTTGAGAATAGTAAGGATATTTTTTCGAAAGATGGAAATAACTTTTTCTCCCTAATTAGGAAATGCAATACATGTCCACAGTAAAAGTAAATATTTAGGCCAAGGTTTCCCCACCTCTGCATCATTGACGTTTGGACCAGATGAGTCTTTGTTATGGGGCTGTCTTGTGCATCGTGACGCCTAGTGGCCTCTTCCCATGGCACATGTGGTCATGACCACCAAAAATGTCCCCCAACAGTGCCACATGCCCCTGGGGGGAAAAGGTCATCCTCTTGAGACTCACTGATTTAGCAAACTAGCGAAAGTATAAAAAAGGAAGTAGAAGCCACCCAGTCTGCAGGCGTTCAGTCCATGGATACAGAAGAGAACTTGGAAGAGTAGGGGGAGAGCTGAAACCCACAGACAGATAACCGGCATGAGCGCCTGGAGCAGGAGTCCATATGAGACTGTAAGAGTCCATTGTGAACGTATAGGTCTTACGGTAGGTGATGGAGAAGACACTCGAGTTTAGGTACCTCCTGAATGAGGGGGACACAGGAACACACAGGACTAAAAGTGTGATAGCAGACTTCCCACCTTCAAATGATGTACAGCTAGCCTGAGTTAGTCGGGCGTGAGTGTGGTGAGATTTGTGCTGTAGACCATCCAAATAAACAGATGTAGCAGAGGAATTTTGTGTAAACTCTGTGTATATTGAAGTTGCTGAAAGGCAGATGTTATTTGGAACTTCTTCTTTTTTTAATGTTTATTTATTTATTTTTGAGGTGGGGAGGGCAGAGAGCAAGGGAGAGAGAATTCCAAGCAGACTCCACACTGTCAGTGCAGAGCCGGACATGGGGCTCTGTCTCACGAACCGTGAGATCATGACCTGCACTGAAACCAAGAGTCAGACATTTAACCGACTGAGCTGCCCAGGTGCCCCTGAAAAGTTTATTCTCCTCTTTTGTGGAAACTTTCATCTCAGAATTAGATTTTTTTTTTTTTTTTGTATTTTTCCCAGAGAACTATCAAAACTCTGTTAGACCCATGAATGCTTTTTAACTTTGGGGAAGCTGGAGAAGATGCTCTTTTGAGTTTTAGTCATCTGGGGTCATACAACTAAAAATTCAAGTTGTGGTATGATACCTAAACCTCATGAAGTAACATATTGAATAACACTTTAAGGTTACTTGTCGGTCCTTAGTGGAGTGTGGCTCTTGTGGTTAATGGCACACAGATTGGGAGATTGAGAGTATGAAGGAGTAGGGTTAGGTATAGGATTCAAACAAAAGTTAGTGATGACAGAAATATCACCAACTTTATCCTTTTTGCCTTGAGCTATACTCAGGTAACACAAAGTGTTCGTGACAGAGTCAACAAAGAAGTTAAAAACTAAACCTGTGGTAGAACACGTGCTCATTTTAGCATCAGACCTCGTTAATGCTACTCACATACGTAACACCAAGGAAGCTTGACCTAAACTCCTGAAACCAGTGGAGGCATCGGTGTTTTGCCTGGCCCGCTCTCTGTTCCCTCTGGACCTGCTTCTGTGCTGTGTCCTGCAGATTGATTACTTCCGTGCTGTGTCCTGCAGATTGATTACTTCAACAATCAGATCATCGTGGACCTTGTGGAGCAGCAGCACAAAGGGATCATTGCTATCCTAGATGACGCCTGCATGAATGTTGGCAAGGTCACCGATGAAATGTTCCTCGAAGCACTTAACAGCAAATTGGGCAAACATGGTCATTTTTCCAGCCGAAAGGTAGTGTGCTTCATGAGAACTTCCTCTACTTTTGATGTGTAGGATTTTCCCCATTGCTGGACACAATTAAATGGTTTTAAATGTTGGGTTAAAAGAGGTCCACTCAACTAAGCAAGAAAGAGCGTAAGCAATCATGGAGCAACTTACTACTGTAAGTAAATCCTGCCTGTCTGGTTTATGGGATGGCAAGACTGATAAAAATCATAATATCCAGGAGAGGGAGCTCCAGACTATTCAATTTGCTAGAAATAGGAAAAATGAACATGATTTTAGAAAGCATGATGTCATTTATAACCAATAGGTACAGAGGCCTTGTTCATGTGCTAGAATTTTGTTCCTGCGTCGGATAATTCTGGCACCAAAAACAGCTTTTGTCCTTGACTTTTTACTGTCATCAGTTATAAAACGTAGTATGTGTCCTCTGCCATAGTTCTTCAGGCTATGTGACTTTCTTGAAATGAGGGGAATTCTAGCTGTAATTCTCATTGTTACAAGGAATTCGTTCCCTTAAACGAATGGGTATCCTTTTAAACTCCCTATTTTTCACATTCTAAAAATGTCATTAAACAGATGACATTTCTGTAATGGGTGGTGGCGGTCGTGGTTATCAGACCTTTGTGCCGTGCCTCGCAGATACTGTGTTTGTCCTGGGAGGGGCAGACCGTCATCCTGGTGGTCCGCCGACACTCTACCAATACAGGCGTGTTTAGCAGCCATAGACTAAAGTAGAAACAGGCTCCGTGCACCATCACTTCCATACAGAAAGGAGCAAACATTTCTGCTCCTCCATATTTCCATGTAAATCTTTGACACACTGCCATTTTTCTTTTTTTGCACAAATCTATTTTCTGACTTTGTCCCCTTTGAAACTGTGTAATCAGAAGAGTAAGAATCCACAATTAACTGGATAAAAGCACAAATCATCAAGAAATAGATTACTGACTGATGTTTATGTTAGGCCAGTTTATTTCTAAAAGATTCTCCTTGGTCTGTTACTGAGGACTGACTTGGATCCCTCCTACAAGTCGGTCGGCTGTCAGATACTACGGTCTGACCTTTGACATGAGGGTTCTGGTCAGAACATTTCCCACATTTGATACAAGGGCTTGCTGTTTCCAGGCGTAATCCTGGATGCTGGGGACAGAGCAGTGAGCCAAGTTAGAAGCAACCTACACTATTTAGAGTGATCCATTAAAAGATGGTATTATTACGTGGGCAGATGCCCTGTCTTGGAGAGCTGGGTTACCCACGTCCTTTATAATCTCAGCCCAGGTTTTGGAGACTCACCTACATCCTGCCTACCAGATGGTACCTAATCAGTGTTTGTAAAATTGAATTGAATTGGTCACGATTATACCAAATAGACCTTATGGAATATTCAGTTTAAAACTAAAACATGCAAGGCTCCATTTCATTTAAATAAATTAACTATGAGTCTCACATGAGAAGTGACCTCATTTTGATTCACCTTGGCCATTTATACACCTGAATTAAATTTGTCCACCAAATATTTTGAAACATAATCTCATTCTTAAAGTAGCAACTATACATAGTACTTTTAAGCAGTTGCCACCAATTTAATAAGAAATTGTGAAAATGGTGATTTATCTGCAGAAATGGGAATTTTCTTTCTTTTTCCTCCTTTATTTTATTTTTTTAAAAAATGTTTATTTATTTTTTTTTTTTTGAGAGAAAGAGAGAGATGGGGGGGGGAGGGGCAGAGAGAGGGAGAGAGAGAATCTCAAGCAGACTCCACAGCTGTCAGCACAGAGCCTGACGTGGGGCTTGAACTCAGGTACTGTGAGATTATGACCTGAGCTGAAACCAAGAGTCTGAGGCTTGACCTACTGAGTCACCCAGGCACCCCTTTTTTTTTCCTTTAAATGTGGAAACCCAGGTTTCTCTGACTCTCAAACCAGGTAGCTCCTTCCTCCAGGATTTGTCATCCCCCAGACATGTCTTGAGATATTGGGACCTTTAAAGTGTCCCAATTAATTTCTGGGATTATTGCCCTAATGAGGGAAAGAAAGGAAATAACCAAGCAGTCAGGATATTTTCATCACTATGAACCTTTCCTTTAAATAATGCTATACTGCTGTATGCTAAGCCAGGTATTATCATTTGCTATTGGTTACATGTTATCTTGAGTTATGGGCGTGTTAAATAAGTTTCTGCCTTGTATTTATTTATGGGGCTGAATTGTTTTTTAGATGTTAAAGTTATCATGGAGAGACAGATAAATGATCCAATAAACCATGAAATTACTATTTAAAGTATTGTGAGCGTACAAAGTTAAATGATAACATAACTTCTTTTCAGAAAGTAAAGAAAAATCTAAAATCTTCTGTGTTCAGATCGGTTGAGACTTTGCAGTATCCAAATGTAAGAATACTCAGCATAGGCATCTCCTGGGTCCTTTTCCATGAGGAGTTTTATAAATAACAGGGTTTTGTAAAATGGTTAATGAGAGACAGAAGGAAAGAGGAATTCAATTTTTTGGAGATCCCTTTGTATGTTATGTATGTTATGTAGGTCTCCATATCTCATTTCACCTTTAGGACAACTCTCTGATAGAAGTAATTATTAAAGTTGAAATGAAATTAAAAATTTATAAAGTATTAAGTTTAAAAAGTTAAGTTAAAAACAGAACCAAGATTTGAACCTCGGAAATCTGACTCTCATTTCCTGGAATTATTCACTTGTCTAACTAATAAACTAATTATTCCTTTACTAGTCCAGTTATCAATATAGAAGCCACCATACTGAAACTTAAGTTTTTGTACGTAAGTGCACTCAGTGCTTTATGGATTCTTGGATGTCTGCTTTAGAACCTGTAGGATGTCAAGTGATCCTTCACAGGGCAGACAAAGAAGTCTGGGTGTTACTATAACAAGGAAAATTACAGAAAGCAATGGAGACCACCAGGCTATATAAAAACTGCCTGTCTGGAACGTATTCCTCTTCCATGAGAAAGAGCTGCAGGAGGCTGATCTTCTTTGAAATGATGGACCTGAACTTGAGTCCCAGCTTAGCAAAAGACAGGTTAGCCAGGCCGTTGTGTACATGGAGAGCACAGACATTACATCTGGTCCCAAGAATCATCAGAGCTACCACTTACAAGCCATGTGACTTGGGCCTTAGTACGTAAAAGAGAGCTCATAATACTTAACTTACTTTATCAGTTGTGAGGACTGACTGAGACATGTGCACTTAGCAGACGGCAAGCCTTCAGTGTGGTGCTCCTTGAGTGGAGTGTGGAAGAGAAAGAGACTCCGGATAGGCTGGGCCGCACCCAGGCAGCAGCCAAGATTTTAGCACTTCTCTCCCAGGGATTTGGACTTCTTCCATTTTCCAGCTCTTCCCTCCCCTTGCCACTATCCTTCTCTGCATCCAGCTAATGGGAGGAGAAAAGGAAGTGCAGAAAGGATCACCCACTTCTTACCAGATTTGGCCTGACATAACCACACTTCCTTTCCACTCACCGTCCATTGTCCAGCACCTGGTCACTTGGCCATATCCAGCTGCAAGGGTGGCTGGGAAATGAAGTCCAGCTGTGTGGATTTCCGGTGTAAGCTCGAAGATTTTGCCATATAAGCCTCACGTGGTGGGGCATTATCTCATTCATAATGGTATCATGATTTGTGACACTATCATCATCTTATATGAAATTGGAGTATATTTTTAGGAAAGTGAAAATAGCCGTTTTCAAAATAATCTCCTTATTGATTTTCTTAGCTCTGCGCCTCAGACAAAATCCTGGAGTTTGATCGAGACTTTCGAATTCGACATTACGCGGGTGATGTTGTGTGAGTATCTTACTTTGGTACCTAATGCGATGACTGGCATGCAACTTCATTTTAGAAGATATAACCAGAGAAAATAAAAACTGTTTTCCTATTTATTTGCATTTTTCCACCATTTCATCGGCCAGTATATTTTCATCTCCTCACTTAAAAAAAAGGGCATAGCTTCATTCATTCCTTGTTTTTCAACCATTTCTTGAACCCACACTATGGCAGCCATGCACATAGTGTGGCCACTGTGGCATAGATGCCACTCACATTAGCTGATGGATAAATAAATTGTGGAAGAATGTTAAGAACATATAGAAAGATGGGTAAGATGGGTCTTTTTCTGGAGAAGCTAACAGTTCAGTGGTGGGTGTTAGCAGATACATAAGTCACTCTAACGAAGAATGAGAAGGGTCAAACTAGAGATGTGCAAGGCATTATGGAAACATTGAAGAGAAGTCATTAGCCCAGGGCAAGGAGTATAGAGGGGTTTTGGGGGAGGAAGTGCTATCCAAGCTGAGTCCTAGAAGTGAGAGGCTAAGGGAAAGAGGAAGGGAGGAGGGAGGGCATTCCAGAGCCCAGAGCCACCACTGTGTGTGAAGAACTACAAGCAGTTGGGTAACTACAGGAAAATTAGTTTTGCCATATTACTTTTCAAATGTTAATTGAAAAAGTAAAATTCTCATAAGCCAATCTTTCTGGTCACAATGTAAGAAAAGTAGACATTGATAAGAAAATATGACTAAAAATATAACCACCTTAGCATTTGCGTTCCCTGGGGCTACTATAACAAACAAGTGGCTTAACAAGAGAGAAATCCATTCTTATTCCGAAGGCCAGAAGTCGAACTCCAGGTGTCCACAGGGCCACATGCCAGGGGTTCTGGGGGAGGATTGTTCCTCGCCTCTGCCAGCTTCTAGTAGCTTGTGGCTACATGTCTCCAATCTCTGCCTCTGTGGTCACAATGCTGCCTTCTCTTCAGTGTGTCTGTGTTAAATCTCCCTCGGCCTCTATCTTAAAACTACAATTGAGGGGGCGCCTGGGTGGCACAGTCGGTTAAGCGTCCGACTTCAGCCAGGTCACGATCTCGCGGTCCGTGAGTTCGAGCCCCGCGTCAGGCTCTGGGCTGATGGCTCGGAGCCTGGAGCCTGTTTCCGATTCTGTGTCTCCCTCTCTCTCTGCCCCTCCCCCATTCATGCTCTGTCTCTCTCTGTCCCAAAAATAAATTAAAACGTTGAAAAAAAAAAATTTTAAAACTACAATTGTGATGGCATTTAGGGCCCACCTGGGTAATATCTGGGTAATACGGGATACACTTCTCCTCTCAAGATCCTTAGCATCATCACACCTTTTGTTGTGTAAGGTCACATTCACAGAATCCAGGGAATTTGACAAAGATGTCTTTGGGGGGGGGGGGTTGCAGTTCTTCAGCCTACTACACTTAGGATGCTTTGTCCACTGAACACTGCCTCTTATCTTATTATTGTTTAAAGTTTCCTCTTTTCCTTTGTCCTTCTTTTATATGTTAGGAGTTCTATTCATCAAACCCATTACAGGAAGAGATTACACAACAACAGAAAGGCAAATGATCATCCCTACAAATGCTGAAAAGACATTTGAAGGGATTTTAATAGCTGTTCCTGATTTAAATTAAAACTGAATCATAAAATAATATGGCTCAAGATTATCACCCCATCTGTCAAACTAGCCATTAGTGCTGGAATAGCACCATATTCCACTTTTTCTGGTCCTGTTCCCAGGTTCCAGAATACTAAGAGGGAGGATCCAGCGCGGTGCAGACATCTCCCGCTGAAAATGCAGGCCTCAGTTACAGGACACTTTCATACAGTTCAGAAGCATAAAAGCAGAGCTGGTCAGAGGCCATAGAGACCAGCCAGCCCGTCCCCTTTGTTTTACAGATTAAAAGACTTATGTAAAGTCTTGACTTATGTAAAGTCTTTATCTATGTAAATTTTTACCCAAGGTCACACTGCAAGTTTCTGGAATAGCTGAGACTGTAGCTAGGTTTCCAGACTCCTAGTCCTGGATGCTAGCTGACCCTTTTGAGGGATATCCAGTGCCTCAGACTTCCCCTTCTCTCTTTCAGCCCTTCAGTCCCTTTCTAGATTCTTAGTGGATATCTCCTTTGTGCACAGTGTATTTTAGGGTGTGGTCTCGGCTCACGAAGAGCTTCCCATGTAAGATGCATATGTACATATATGGTTGTGTGTGTGTTTATTTATACCCATAAACATGCACGTACATATATATCCACACATTTACATGCATACATCAGGACAATAAGAGTTGGTCTAAAATAATCACCACATGACTAATAGCAGTATTGTCAGAATTTAGAATAAGCACATGATGTAGTATTTCTGTGTGATAAACCCAGGAAGGCTGATGGTAGCTAGTCCATAGATTCTAGGAATTATTTTTAAAGGGAGAAGTGGGAAGGGTGCTAGAAATATTCAGGAAATAGTAACTAGGTCCATTTAAGTGGACTGTATCCTTTTTGTAGCATAGGGAAGTAGAAATGTCTGGAAAAGTAGATTGAGATCAAATCATAATGAGAACTTAAAGGCCAAAATAAGGACTATGAAGTTTGAATGTTACAGGTTAGACAATAGGTAAAGAGTCCGGTGGCTTCAGGGTTTCAGTCAAAAGTGACTTGAAGGTCTTAGGAAACAGATCTAGGATGCGGGAGGCAAGGAAGTCGTTTTGGACCTGGTGACCTTGAAGCTCCTGTAGGCTGTGCAGCCTGAAGGAATCTTCTTAGAGAATCAAATATGTGAGGTGAGAACATCAGCGAGGGGTCTGGGTTAGACATCTGAGAATTATCTACACTGATCTGATTGTTAAGGACAGGCAACAAGGTAGAGCCATTGGGAGCAGGTGCATCTGGAGTTCCTATTTTCCTCACACCTGAGCCTCTGTCCTTGTCACCCTGAGTCCTCCATTACTTTCCTGCCCCCAGCACCACCCTTGCTGCCCCTGGAGTCCACACCTGCCCCTGTAACAGAGCAGCTCCGATCCCTCCTTCATCACCAACTCAAGTTTATGTGGGCACTCAGCACCTGACACTGTCCCTCCTGGTTTTCTCTCAAGCACTCCATGCATGTGCCTGCTCCTCCCCCTTCATTTGATCTGCTTCCCTGTGTGATCCCCCTTCCTCTTTCCCCTCTGCTTATCTAAATCTTACCGTCCTTTGCAGTTCTCCTTGGATTCTTTTATCCCACCCTGAATACACTGAGAGAACCTTAGGCAAGTCACTTGACCTCCCTACGAAGAGACTAGTAGTTCCTGTCTGTTGCTGTTTTGCTTTGATCTTAGGAGTGCTGGATGATAAACACAGCTATCTTTTTGAGAGTCCCCTTCTTGAGGTAAGCAGTAAACAAGCAGTAGAAAATGGCAGTCTTAATCATAATGATTGATGTTTGCTCTCCTTTTGAGGAATAAAAACAATATGCCCTCTACTTAGTAGGTAAATTTGGAATTTTTAAACACAGAACAAAATGGACAATACCAGCCCCACAGATGATTGTTTGCATCATTAACACTGGAAAGGCCTGTAGATTTGTAGAAAAGCTTAAATGTGGCTCTTGCTTAGTGAATAATGCATGTTTTCTGTGGTTTTTTTCCCTCTATTAGCTATTCAGTCGTTGGATTTATTGACAAAAATAAAGACACTTTGTTTCAAGATTTCAAGCGCCTCATGTATAACAGGTAGGATTGAAATTTTATTAACTGTCTTTCCATTAAGCTCTTTGACATGTATATTGCATAATACATATGCACATGATTACTTTCATGTGACAGTTTTAAGAGCTTCTGGCAAATTTTCTAGTTCTATTTGATCATATGAATGAAATAATATATTACTTTGTGATTGTGGAATCTATCAATTTAGGGCAGGGCCCTGCTGCTGATATCATTTTCCTTGATTTCCCTTGGGTTGCCTCAGTTTTTCTGTTCACTACTACCATCCTTCTGGCACCCCTACCGGTGTCCCCAAAGTAGGTCAGTGGCAGATTCCCACGGTAATGCCTTTGCCTCCAACTAAGAGACCACTTTTAACATCAGCATGGCATCTGGTGTCAGTGTTGACAGAATATGAGTGGACAGAACCTTTTCACAATCCAAGAAAATGCGGAAAAGATGTGGTTAAGTAAAACCAGGCAAAGGATAGTAAGTTCAAACCCAGTAGGAATGCTTTGGAAAGAGGCCCATAAAGAAGACATTCTTAGCCAGTTTCTTCTTTGGGACTAGAGATACGTGTAGTCACTCATATACTAAATCTGCATAGTCAGTTGGTCGGGAGATCATCAAAAATGTGTTGCACACCTATGAGCCATACATTCTTCTATGCCCTGAAATCCAGCTGAGAAAAAATTTAGGCTATTGCCCCACCCTCACGAACCTTCTACTCCAGTGGAGGTGACCACTTATGCAACAAAATAAGTAACTTTCTGGTAGTGGCAAGTTGCCGTGAAGAAAAATAAAGTAGGTAGGAGATTGAAGGTTATAGACAAGGAGGGTCAAGGGAGGCATTATCGAGAAGGGTGGTCAGAAAAGGCTTCTTAAAAGAGGTGACTTTTGGGACACCTGGGTGGCTCAGTCAGTTAAGTGTCCATCTATGGATTTTGGTTCAGGTCATGATCTCACGGTTCATGAGATTGAGCCCTGTGTTGGGTTCTCCACTGACAACACAGAACCTACTTGGGATTCTTTCTCTCCCTGTCTCTGCCCCTACCCCACTCGTGTGCGCGCTCTCTCTCTCTCTCTCTCTCTCTCTCTTTCAAATAAATAAACATTAAAAAAAAAAAAAAAAAGATGTGACTTTTGAGCAGAGACCTGAATGAAGTGAGGGAGTAAGCCATGAACACGTGGCGGAGGAGAGCATTCCAGGCAGAGAGCAGCCAGTGCCAAGGCGCCAAGGTGGGAGTGAGCGTGGGTATCTTGAGAACAGGCTAGTGCTGCTAAAAGCAGAGTGAGAGGTGGGAAGAGTGATACAGAATGAATTTAAGGAGGTTGGCAGGGTGTGGATCAAGAAGAGTCTGTGAGCCAAGGTAAGGATGAAGTATGAAGAGAAGCCATTGGAATTCATGGTAGGGCGCCATTTATATTTTAAAGAACTCACTAGGGCTACTGTGTAAAACACATACTATAAAGGGCAAGAGTAGAAATGAAGAGACCAAATAGACTAGTAATCCAGGTGGTAGTAAGAGAGGTGATGAAAAGTGGTCAGAGCGGGTGATACTTCGAAAGTGAGGCCAACAAGATACGCTGATGGATAGGATGTGTGGTGTGAGGGAGAAAAACAGAAATCTGAGACGGTGCCTGAGCACTGGGGGAGGGATGCTTGAGGAGGGGCCAGCTGGGTGGGGGAGACCCAGCGTGTTGTCCTGGACATGTTATAATGTTGGGCGCTCGGCTGGAAATGCCAAGCAGGCAATTGTAGGTCCGCATCTGGAACTCGGGGTTAAGGAGGAACTGGAGCTATAAATTCATGGTCCCTAGTCTATTGACAGTATGTAAAGCTGTAAGACTAGATGAGAGTAATGAGAGTGAGCACAGATAAATAGAAGAGGTCAAAAAGACTAATCCCTGAGACTCTCCAGCGTTCGGAGTCAAGCAAAAAACAAGGAACTAGCAAAGGAGACAGGGCTGCCAGTGAAGTAGGAGGAAAACCAGAAACCTGGTGTCACAGAGGCCAAGCCAAAAACAAAGTGATTTTCTAAAATATGCATGTATTTATTTTGAGAGAGAGAGCAGGGGAGGGGCAGAGAGAGAGAGAATCCCAAGCAGGCTCCACACCATCAACGCAGATCCTGACGCGGGGTTCGATCCAATGAACCGTGAGGCGATGACCTCACATGAAATCAGGAGCCAGATGCTCAACCGACTGAGCCTCCCAGGCACCCCCCCAAAAAAATCATAAACTCTGTGAAATACCGTCAAAAGGGAAATGCTGTGAGGGCCGAGGTTAACCATCAGATTTGCTGACATGAAGGTCAGGTGGGCCCTTGACAACACTGGTCTCAGTAGAGTTGTGAAAACAAATGTCTGGTTGAGGTGGGCTCCAGAGAATACGGACTATGAGATGTAGAGACGTTGCGTTTAAACGGTTCTTTCAAGAAGTTTTCCTATTAAATGGTACATCTGTATGGATGTTGAAGCCACCAAGTGATGGAGCTGTCAGCACCAGAAAGTTACAGAGACATGGGAATGCAAGAGGGGTCCGTGGAAAAGCTGGTCATGGGGAAAAGGGACTTTCAGAAAGGAGTTCCAATGGTTGAACTTTCAGGTAAGATGCACCCATTTTGAGGGACGAGTGATGGAGTCTGGCGTTGCTCCGTGGAGTAAACGGCCTCAGTCAGCCAGTGGCAATATCAGCATGTGTTGCCAGGGGAAGGCACCCAGGATATGTAGCAAGAGGCTACAGAAGGTGGCATTTATTACCTTCGTTGTTTTTTTGTTTTTGTTTTTTTATGTTTGTTTATTTTTCACAGAGACCGAGCATGAGCATGAGCATGAGCATGGGCAGGGGAGGGGCAGAGAGAGAGAGGGAGACACAGAATCCGAAGCAGGCTCCAGGCTCTGAACTGTCAGCACAGAGCCCGATGCAGGGCTCGAACTCACGAACCGTGAGATCATGGCCTGAGCCGAAGTCGGACGCTCCACTGACTGAGCCATCCAGGCGCCCCAGCCTTCATTACCTTCGTGAATTTTTTCTGGCCCACAGGTCCAGCTCAGTGAGAGGAGCTCCACCTCCTAGTGTTGGGCTCACGTAATCCCAAGCTCACAGGATTCATGTAGAAACAAAGCTGCGTGTGGGTTTATTTCCAGTGAAAAATCTGACCATGACATGGAATATTTGCATTGGTATAACAGGCTGTCCTCCCCTATTGGAAAACCTGCTTGGAGAGTCAAATAGCAGTGAGAATCTAGTTTATTAACTGAAAGTGAAAACTATTACCCATAGAATCCATAGTGCTTAGCTGCTTGTGTGTGTAAATGGAGAGGAAGGGAGCCGGCAGGTGGCACGCCAGGTGCACAGACTTCACTCTTGACTTCCTCACTTCTAAGCCATGCAACTTCTGTCTTATCTATTAAGCCTACTGGGTTTCTGGATAAATAAGGTTCCCTTTTAAGAAAAGGGTTCTTGTAGACGTTTGAAAACTATTTTATTATTACATTCATGACTTAACGGGCCTGAAGAGTTCTTTCTCTTTAGAATGATTGTATGGATCGCTTTTGGTTCATTATATATGAATTCAACTATTTAACAATAATCATAATAAACATCTTATTTCCTTCATTTCCAACCTTCTCTTCTCCCTCCATTTACCACGTAATATGGGAATAATCTCTAAGTATGGCCAACAGTGAGTAAGGTGGAATTTGGGGCAGAAACGCATGGACTCAAAGTCTGCGATCTCCAGTCTTTGGGCTGCGTCAGAATTTTCAAAGCACACATGTTCTACTTTCTGGTAATTCTATCAGTAAGTGTTAGGGAGACACCCAGGCCTCCTCTGAACTAAGGGTTGAAAACCATTGCCTTAAATCCTGTCTGCTAAAGACTAGAATGGAAGATTTCAGGAGAAACGGTATGCCCTTATGCGGTCATTTTGATGGTCAGCGCTCACCGGGAGACTAGGGACAGGAGCAGGGAGGGGTGAAATGGGGACCCTGAGCCACGCACAGATCATGGGGTTATTTTAGCGCCGCTTCCGGTGGTAGTCAGCACCCCCCGCTAGCAGCGGCGAGGGGTGGGAGTGCTGCTCTGTACAGGCCCGGTCAGTCTTCAGCTCTCCCTTTTTCCTCTCTGCTCTCTGGGCACTTATTCTGGCATCTCACACCTGTCATTTCGGGCCTCTGTGTGCGGAAGTTTACTAGGTATTTGGGGAACCACCTCAGTTTTCTCAGTTTTACACCAGGGAAAGAACAGCGGGCAAAGCGATGGCAGTAGTAAACACAGCAGAGAATGTCCTTGCCGAGTCCTTTCTCTCTCTTCTCAGCCCCCAATTAAAAAAAAAAAAAAGATTTCTGACAAATCGCATCGTACGATGACAGGTGGTAGCTACTGGACGTGAGCGCTGCATGACATTTAGAGATGCAGAGTCACCGTTTGTACACCTGCAGCCGATGTAACGTCATGTGACAACTGTGCACAAATAGGAAGGAAGAAGGGAGGGAGGAAGGAGGAAAGGAAGGCAGGAAGAAAGAAGTTTCCAGGAAACAACAGTTTGAGTTCCAATTACTTTAAAATCAAAGACACCCAAAATGAAACAGGAAGCAAATCAGAGTTGAGACCACCACACATGTTGTAAAAAAAACATCTCCACAGAGCTAAATGATGATTTTTACATAATTTTTAGCATTTAAACTGGCCTGAAGTACACCATAGGAATTGGATGGCAACAGTCTTAGTGTCACATCAATAAAATATTGTAACTGCCAATAAATGAGTGTGCAAATTCAGCTGCAGTGAGGGATTTACTGGAAGGCAATGTAAACATGGTTCTTTTATATTCCTGTCTGCCTTGTTAGAAAGAGCTGGCTTTTTGTCGTGTTATCTGTTCTGTGTGAGTGTTTCTTCCGATGAGAAGCTCCTTTCTTGCCCATGTTTTCTGCCATGCCACATTGAGCATCGTTTTTCACTAGTGGCTTGTCCTCCTCCTGAGGACCACCCAAATCTTTTGATTTTATGTATGTATTGTAAGAGCCGTGTTAACCATTTGAGGGTCCTAGGTAATGATAATGTAGATATCACTTTAAAGAAGTTTAAAGAATTTTTTTAAGTTTATTTATTTAAGTAATCTCTGTACCCAACCTAGAGCTTGACCTCACAACCCCGAGATCAAGAGTCACATGCTCCACAACTCAGCCAACCAGGTGCCCCAAGAATCTTGTTTTTTTTGTTTGTTTGTTTGTTTGTTTGTTTTTTAAGTTTATTTGTTTATTTGGAGAGGGAGGGAGAGAGGGACGGGGTGGGCAGAGAGAGGGAGAGAGCGAATCCCAAACAGGCTCTGCACTATCAGCAGAGCCCAACACAGGGCTTGAACCCACAAACCATGAGATCATGGCCTGAGCTGAAACCAAGAGTTGAATACTTAACCAGCTGAGCCACCCAGGTGCCCCAAGAATTTTTTAAATGTAGGATAGTTTGGACACATCTTCTCCATCTGTGATATGGTATCTGCCACTATGCTCTCTCAGCATAATTTTCTGGATGGAGTCTTTTTTCCAGGTAGGCTTTGTGACTCCAGTCTGCAGTCCACTTGTGGCTCCAGGGTGCAGTCCACTCGTGGCTCCAGTCT